TATATACAGTGGGTATGGAAAGTATTCAGACCCCCTTAAATTTTTCACTCTTTGTTATATTGCAGCCATTTGCTAAAATCATTTAAGTTAATTTTTTTTCCTCATTAATGTACACAGAGCACCCCATATTGACAGAAAAACACAGAATTGTTGACATTTTTGCAGATTTATTAAAAAAGAAAAACTGAAATATCACGTGGTCCTAAGTATTCAGACCCTTTGCTGTGACACTCATATATTTAACTCAGGTGCTGTCCATTTCTTCTGATCATCCTTGAGATGGTTCTACACCTTCATTTGAGTCTAGCTGTGTTTGATTATACTGATTGGACTTGATTTGGAAAGCCACACACCTGTCTATATAAGACCTTACATCTCACAGTGCATGTCAGAGCAAATGAGAATCATGAGGTCAAAGGAACTGCCTGAAGAGCTCAGAGACAGAATTGTGGCAAGGCACAGATCTGGCCAAGGTTACAAAAAAATTTCTGCTGCACTTAAGGTTCCCAAGAGCACAGTGGCCTCCATTCCTTAAATGGAAGACGTTTGGGATGACCAGAACCCTTCCTAGAGCTGGCCGTCCGGCCAAACTGAGCTATCGGGGGGGAAGAGCCTTGGTGAGAGAGGTAAAGAAGAACCCAAAGATCAGTGTGGCTGAGCTCCAGAGATGCAGTCGGGAGATGGGAGAAAGTTTTAGAAAGTCAACCATCACTGCAGCCCTCCACCAGTCGGGGCTTTATGGCAGAGTGGCCCGACGGAAGCCTCTCCTCCGTGCAAGACACATGAAAGCCCGCATGGAGTTGTGAGATGGTGAGAAATAAGATTCTCTGGTCTGGTGAGACCAAGATATAACTTTTTGGCCTTAATTCTAAGCGGTATGTGTGGAGAAAACCAGGCACTGCTCATCACCTGTCCCAACAGTGAAGCATGGTGGTGGCAGCATCATGCTGTGGGGGTGTTTTTCAGCTGCAGGGACAGGATGACTGGTTGCAATCGAGGGAAAGATGAATGCGGCCAAGTACAGGGATATCCTGGACGAAAACCTTCTCGAGTGCTCAGGACCTCAGACTGGGCCGAAGGTTTATCTTCCAACAAGACAATGACCCTAAGCACACAGCTAAAATAATGAAGGAGTGGCTTCACAACAACTCTGTGACTGTTCTTGAATGGCCCAGCCAGAGCCCTGACTTAAACCCAATTGAGCATCTCTGGAGAGACCTAAAAATGGGTGTCCACCAACGTTTACCATCTAACCTGACAGAACTGGAGAGGATCTGCAAGGGGGAATGGCAGAGGATCCCCAAATCCAGGTGTGAAGAACTTGTTGCATCTTTCCCAAAAAGACTTATGGCTGTATTAGATCAAAAGGGTGTTTCTACTAAATACTGAGCAAAGGGTCTGAATACTTAGGACCATGTGATATTTCAGTTTTTCTTTTTTAATAAATCTGCAAAAATGTCAACAATTCTGTGTTTTTCTGTCAATATGGGGTGCTGTGTGTACATTAATGAGGAAAAAAAATTAACTTAAATGATTTTAGCAAATGGCTGCAATATAAAAAAGAGTGAAAAATTTTAGGGGGTCTGAATACTTTCCGTACCCACTGTATATATATATATATAGAGAGAGAGAGATGGATATGTATTAAAAAACATGCTCAAACTCCACCATATGTTTTGCGATCCATCTGCCTTTATGCATCTGTTTCCATCAGCACCAAGCTGCTTCATCGATCCTCCCGTTGGCATGGTAACAGAAGTCATGCGCTGTCATGTGAAGTTCCAGCATCCTGAGGGCGACCACTTCACCCTCATCAACATTTACAACACCTTCAAACGCAGCCAGAAGGAACCATGTGAGTGACACGCTTTCTCTCATGGATGGGCAGGTGAAGAGTGTGAAGGGTGTGTTAAACGTCTGTGTGTCTGTGTGTGTGTGTGTGTGTGTGTGTGTGTGTCACATTTCAGTCAGGAGCAGTGGTGTGAGGAGTACTTCCTGTGCTGCGACGCCCTGCAGACATCAGATGCCATCAGAGCCCAACTCACAGACATCCTCAAACGCATCGAGCTTCCTATTTCAGAACCAGCCTTTGGCACCAAAACCAACGCACTCAATATCAAGAGAGCACTGCTCGCTGGCTACTTCATGCAGGTCTCAAAGCATATGTTCTTATGAACATACAGCAGGTATAGAAAAGAATCACCCCTTTAAAAATAATCACATTTTGTTGCTTTGTAGCCTGAAATGAAGATGGACACAGTTTTTGTTTTATCCAGCTGTATTTACTCTGTGCATTTTATAACATCCAAGTGAAAGATATAAATAACACCAACATTTAAAAATCAATCAGGAGCCAGGAGGAAACTGGTCAGAGAGGCGACCAAGAGGCCGACAGCAACTCTGAAGTAGCTGCAGGAATTTCTGACAGAGCGGTCATTGTGTGCATGTGACAACAATATCACAAATTCTCCACAAATGTGGCTTGTGTGGGTGGGTTGCCAGAAAAAAAGCCGCCACTCAAGAAAAACCACATGCAGTCAGACTGAGCTTTGCCAAAACGCACCTTGAAGGTTCTGAGGCAGATGAGATGGAAGATTGAATTATTTGGCCTCGACACCAAACGATATGTCTGGCGGAAATCCAATAGAGCTCAGCATCCAAATAACAGCATTCCTCCAGTAAAGCATGGAGGAGGTGATGTGCTGTTCTGGGGTGTTTCTCTGCAGCAGGGACTGGAGCACTTGTCAGGATAGAAGGAAAAATGGATGGGGCAAAATACTGTCAAATTCTTGAGGAAAATCTGCTGCCCTCTGCCAGAAAGCTGTCAATGGGAAAAAGGCTTATTTTCCAACATGACAATGAACCAAAGCACCCAGCAGAACTGAGCACACAGTGGTTGAAGGCTACAAAGCAACAAAATGTGATCATTTTAAAGGGGGTGATTTTTTTTTCTATCTCACTGTATGCATAAAGTTTTTTTTTTTTATATTATATATATATATACATGTATTTTGACTGATATATAATTGTAATGTGTGTGTGTGTGTGTGTGTGTGTATATATATATATTGTATTATATTATCCATTTACTCAATTCCACATTTTATATATTTTTTTTATTTTGTTTTATTTGTTTACATTTTGTATTTTATTTTTTATTTAGTTTTGTTATATATATATATATATATATATATATATATATATATATATATATATATATATATATATATATATATATATA